AAATTTTGAGGGCATTCATTCTTCATTGCTTCATTCTCACTGGACCCATAATTGACATATCATTATAGCAGCATTTTATTCACCAAGCATGTCATGATACCTATAATTTTTTTGATCGACAGTCATAATGCCTATAATTAAAAAGAAGAAATTTTTGTAAAATTAGATATCATTATCTTAATTATTGTTGTAATAAATTAAAATGGAAAAATTGAAAAAACAAAAAGGGACTGTATGTATGAGCTTTAACAATAATCGAATTGCAAACAACAACATAATTTTAGCAAAATACTTGGTTTGCTGTTCTCAATTTTCATGGCTTTTTTTTCCCTTCAATTTTTTCAATTAAAATTGTTTATTTGTTAAATTTCATGTCTATATAAATTTGACAGCATTTTACATTTGCTGTTGAGGGTCTAAAGCACCCCTCCTTATTCATCTGAGCATGGAATTAGCTCTAGAGCGTGGACAGAGTTAATAATCTATCTAATTAAAAGGCTTGATTGTTGATAGAATATAATGATATCGTATAATCCATATAGCTGATCCCATCTAATGAGAGAATGATTGGTGGTGTTGTTATTTGTTAAATTGTTAATAACTTGACATCACTCCCTTTTTTTTGTTTTTTCGGTTTTAAATTAGGGCATTTAGGTAGTTCTACTATAAAATTCAATTGTGAACTAGTTCGTAAAAACTTTACATGATCAGGCATTTTGGGATATTGAATTGATATTTTAAAATTTTAAGGGTATCTTTGATCTTTTTCTTATTTTTTTAAAAACAATATCTTTAAAAAATTGGCCAAGGGATGCCCATAATAAAATAGCAAGTCTCATGACTCGATAGGACGAGCCTGAAAAAGATCATGTGGAAATAAAGGCTATATTATCCTAACCCAATCATGCTTATCTTTTAAGATTGGAAGGTTAACTCTTAAGATTTATCCTCTTTTAACTGTCTTAATTCACACGCAATTTCCTTCATTTTTCCAATTATATGGACTTATCGTCCTTACACCCATACAGAAAACTACGTTTTAATCTTTTGGTAATTATTTTATTTATTTGGCAACTTAATAATCCAATTAAATCAAACTAATCCCCTCCAGAGCATTACAAGTTACAGACGGCCTGTAAGCAATGCTTATGTTATTCAAAGTCTAAAATGATAACAGCCCAGAAAAATGAGGTTCAACCGTATCTAGAGATTTTAAGTACCCCTCTAATCTTTTTAAAGGCTCACAAAAATTGGTTTAAATATAAATTTTTATAATAAAAACAATATTCTAGCTATTAATAAATAGTACTAAATAACAATAATTTATAATAAAAATAATAAATTTAAAATATACTATCTAAACATTACATTTACTATTTTTGCAACAACAGAATCTGATATAATCAAGATGCGGACCTTTTAATACAATTCATTGGAATTTGAAAAGAATTAGGAATGATAGAGATCTCTAAATTAAGGTAAAGTAATCTAAGGCTATGATATTATATACTCAACAAGATGCTTAACCATGATGGCTCTCTTACATCATTTTTTTTTTTGACACCTCTTACATCAAAATCCAACTTTAGTGATTCCTTACTTAATTTGGGAGAGCCTTTTTAAATTTTCATCCCATTTCATTAACGGAGTAAATTTCAAACAAAGCCTAACACCTGTTAAAAGTAAATTATTTTTCTGAAGTATTATCAATAACATACATTATTTTACAGAAATATTTACTTGGATTCTTAATCTAAAAGTTATCTAAATAATTTATTTTGATTCTAAATATAAAATCTTAATTCTAGACTTATAAATTTTTTAAAGGTATCTCTAACTTTTTGGATCAGACTCTATTGATTATATATATTATTATTATATTAAGAGGTTTCAAATGCAAAAGATTAAAAATGATGTTTATAAGAATTTTAATTTTTAATCATTACAAATTAATTACCTAATTCTTATAATTAGGAGTGAGGTGTGTATGAAATATTTTTAGGGAAAAAAAGGTAAACTGTAGCTTTACACATTTTCTTTTTATTTTTTTTTGGAAAAAAAATCTGCACATGTTATTTTTTGACATCATTTTACCCAGCTGGTTAGCATGAATTCAAACACAATCATCTCTCGTTCTCTCTGTTCCTTACTTCCTCCTCTCTTGCAGGCCATAATAAAGTTTGCCTCAATCACAAAACTCACAGTCCCTACTTCTTTCTTCTTCAAAAACCTCACGAGCAATCCTGTTTGATCTCTCAACCATACGCAAAAATGCTAGATCCAGCTACTGAATTGATGCCTGCACCATCTTCACCGACCATCTCGTCCGTTTCCTCCTCCGATCTTGACACTGAGGTAAGTCGATCTCACTTTCCTGATTTCCCCACTTTGTCCTTCTCTTGAATTTATGATTTGATCTTCTTTTCGCTGTGTACAGTCCACGGGGTCATTTTTCCATGATAGAAGCACTACTTTGGGTACTTTGATGGGAGTGAGCTTCCCGGCCATCACATTCAGAGCCCCATCTCAGCACCGAGACCCGCATTCCGCCACCGCTGGATCCGCCGCACCGTTAGGCGGCTCCAGGAGAGGCATCAAGCCTAATAAGAAAAACATGAGAGCAAAGGCGGTGGACGCGGCGGCTGTCGTAGCAGAAAGGCGAAGGAGATGGTGGAGCCTGTGCAGGGACGGCGACGCGAGGCCGGCAGCTTCGCTCGGCGACTTTCTTGAGGTGGAACGGAGATTCGGAGACGGCGAGTTTTACGGTACGGCGGCCGAGCTCGAAGGAATGGTCATGGGTCAGCAGAGGAATAGTGGTCGAGTGTTATTCGCGAACGGTAGAGTTCTCCCACCGGCCACCGACGTCGACGACGGAGCTTCCACGGCAGGAAGTCTTTGCAATAGATTCCCGGTTTCACTCACCGGGATCTGTAGCGGCGGGGCATAATGGATAGGAAGGATAAAGCTCCGAGTTTTGAATTTTCAATCAATTAAAAAAACAAAAAAGAAAAAGAAAATGGTGACTGTTTTGGAGGTTGTTTGGATGATGGTGATTGATGACTAATTAGTAATCAAATTATTTTTCAGTGTGCATTTCATCTTGTGGTTTTGGTTTACAGGCAAAAAGCAAGGTGATGCCTTTTGGGCTCTTTTACTTTCTTCTTTTCCTTTTTGATTTGGGAGTGGTCCATATTATAATCAATCTACAAATGGGTGATTGACATTAATCATGTGTCCCTTTTGGCAAAATTCAAATCAATTACTGATGTAAAAATGGTTTTTAGGGCATCCCTTTGATTGTTGCATCAATCAAACCCACTTACAGGAAATGGAATTTTGTCCTGTGTGTTCATGGACAAATTTGTCTCCCCCACTGTATAACTTCAAACAAAAGATTGATGAATTTTCCAGGAAAAAGGGAATTGAAGGATTGGTTAGAACAGCATCTTTTCTTTCTTACTCAAAAGAACTGTAATTTCAATTTTTCAAATTTAGTAATAGACAGAGCAGTTGCTGTCAAAGTATGATATGTCATGAAGTTCCTTAATTATATATCTTTAGTTGATTTCCTTCATAGTTTTGTAGTTTTCATTGTCGAACTTTAAGCTATGCATTTCTTTTGTCGCTTCTCTTTATTTGAACATTCAAAAATAAGGTTATGTGGCTTTCTTCATGTGTCCTCATCTTCCTCTTGTGTGTTTTGTTTGATTACACAGAAAGAAACAAACAAGGTGGGGGACAACTTCCGAGTTGTACATTCATAGTCTTTCTTTTCTTTTCTTCTTTCTTGATCCAAAATTGGAGAACATTATGAATTGTAAAGTTTCCTATTCCCAGATCCACACAACACGTTAAAATTCCTTTTCTTCGGCAACTTGTGCTCCCCCTTTTGTAATGAAGTTATAAATTAACTATCATTTCAAGACAATAAATATTTAAGCATAGCAGTTCGTGACTCGGAAATTGACTATAATTTTGACATTACGTTCATATTAAGAAAGCCGATATAAATTAAGTACAGCAGAGTTGACGAGAAGCTGTAGAAAATTTTCAGTCAATTTTACAGTCTCGTTCCAAGTAGATTCTACAAGACTTCCACTTGCAATCTTTTAACTTAGAAAATGGCCAAAAAATAAATAAATATATCAACTTGATATTTAGTATTACCGATCTTTAATATAAGACTCTATTTGGCTTTTATTTTGACCCTAAATATAATACCTCAATCCACTTTATCTCTCATATTTATGCATTTTTTTCAAGGTAATCTTTCTAATAATTGTAGTTGTAGCCAATATAGCTGATTAGTAAGGATATTTTAGAAAAGACAACACATACTTATTACAAATAACTAATTTAACTTCTTTCCTTAATCCCTTCAAATTAGTCAACTGGGTCTTATAATTAGGACCGAAGGTAGTATTTATTTTTCCATCATTATTTATTTTACATCATTTGCGAAATTTGCTTTTGCTTACATCATCATCATCATAATTTAAAAAAAAAAAAATCTTCCTCCCATTGTTCTTCAAAGGAACTTGGACTTCTGGCTGTCCTGTTTCTGCTGTGTCTAAACCACTGCAAACAGTTGAGTTTATGAGTTCATTGTATTAGGTGCGATCCAAATTTTGCAAGACTTGTCTCTTCTAATACAATATCTTTTAAGTTATTAAATATAAGAGCTCCAGATTAGCAACCCTTAATGTCAAAGGATCCAAAATACTTAAGCTGACTGCTTTTTGAATCTGTACTGGTGTAATAGAATCTGATGAACTGGACCTCTAAATGGTTCCAAAGTGACTACTGCCCTCCATTCTTTAAAACCCTCTCGTGAAGCTTCTGGTATCGCATCTCAGTTCATAGCTTAAACTTCTAAATAAAATAAACTTTCGACAAGCTTCTACATGACCAAGCATCTTCTCGAAAGCGTTTGGATTCAAAACAATTGGCAACAGAAGGAGGGAAGCAGCTTTCTTTCTTGTTTTTACTTTTCGGTGTAGATACAGTAAGAATGGGAGTGTATGTAGAGAAGAAAATGCAACAAATATTGAGATCCAGAGGGATTTCCCAGAAATGTGCAGATCCAACGTTGCAACTTTCCTGAATGAAAAACTCCAAATCTATGGAGGTTGCAGAAAAAAAGTATTATATGTATACAAATCTAATATAAACTTACAATATATGTATCAAGAATATCTACTTCCAAGTTCAAGTAATACCAAAACCTAAAAACTTAATGTGCATTAAAACCCCCTCAGGGAATTTCATCAATGGTCTCCAAAGCAGGTCTCCAGGATCCCTGCTTTGAAAAGCTTCTTTTCTCAGCCTTCTCTCCCTCGCAAACCACCTTATAATCATCATCGTCATGACCTTCCAATCTCTCTGCTTCAGAAGGAAACATACAGACAGGAAAAATCTTGCCCAGATTGTTAAACCCTCCATGCTTGAGAGCCCTAGAAGCTTTATAATTCATAGAGCTTATCTCCTCATGTGTGAGAACAGAGTAAAGAAGCTCCATGGGAAGAAGAAAGTAGAACTTTTTCCTCTCAAGCTCTTCATCAGCCAGAAGCCCATGAATCCTATGGCCTACTTTGAGGAAACTAGAGTCACAGACAAACTGCCCAGGATTCTCAAGCATTAATTCTGCAGCCTTCACCGCTCTTGTGTAGGACTCTAGCCTCCCATCTAAGGATAAAACCTTGATTCCCCCATTTGATGTCATCAAGGAAGGTGTACAGGAAGCTGCATTGCCCATATTTCTCAGAAAGAGGCAAAATAGAAAGAGACTAAAGTGGGTTTGTGGTATTGGCCTGGTCAGAGAAAGCAAATGGTGGTGATGAAGCTTCTGTGAATGTGAGGTCCTATATATTCTGGCAAAGCAACCTGTCTGTCGAGAAAAGAAAGATAATTGTTGCTTGTCCTTTTTCTGGCTCATGGATAGTTGGGTAATCTGTTGGCGCATCTTCTTTTGTGTCTTTTTTTAAATTATTATATTAACGTTAATGTTTGTCGTACTCTTAGTGGCATATTTGAAGACCAAAATTTCCCTTCTGGCAGTGGCTTTGTTTTATGCAGCTATACACATTTTAAAAAAAAAAAAGGTCCTCAAGCTAGTTTGGTACAATGCACAATTGATTATTAACGTAACAAAAATAAAAGGATTGATAGATGTCTAGAACACTTGGTTCAATTGGATTGAGAGTCATCCAAATGAGAATTCATGAAACCAAGTATTTCAAATAATGGGATTGATTGAAATATTTATTTATAGATTACTACCTTCGGTTGTAGTTATAAGAGTTAATTGACTAATTTGAGGAGATTAACAAAAGAAGTTAAGTTAATTATTTGTAATAAATGTGTTATTTTTCCTAAAATATCCTTGCTACTCAAATTTATTAGTTAGAACTATCTTGTTGGAAGAACTATTTTAGAAAAAAAAATATAAATATGAGAGACAAAGTAGATTGAGGTTTTATATTTAGGATCAAAATAAAAATCAAACAAAATCTTATATTAAATATCGGAAATGGTATTTTATTAAGTTTTTGGTAGAGATTTTTTTAATATGAAAAGTGGAAGACTTTTATTTAAAAACATACTACCCATATGTCTTTGGTAACCACTGAAGCGTACAGCTTGTGCCCTTTATGCCCACTTAGAAGATCACATCCTATTTCCTATCTTAGGAGGTGAAAAAGGCCAACCTGTCAAACTTGGCCTAATTTAGGACTTGTTGAGATAAAATATTCAGAAAGCAGGGCCTTAGAGTGCAATTTGCCCCTTGAATTTCAAAATTAGTTAAATTGTGTGCAAGAGAGAGAGGGTAAGAAAGTTTCTTTATTGAAATTGTTAGTGGTGCACATGGAGAGGGATGGAAGGAAATA